CCTGCTCTAGAAAGTGGTTCTAGATTTTCTGAGTTTACAGTCACCAATCCTACAAAACTTGCTCTGTTACACTTACCTTGTATAGATGTTCTGATGAGCCTTGGATGGAATATGTTACATAGAGCATAATTTCTGAAAACATAAAAATCAGCATTTGTATTTGGTAAACATGAAAATATTCTTTAAACAGACAACTTCAAAAAGATGCTATTCTTAAAAAGTTTGGCATAATTATTTCACTATAGTGATTAAAACAGTACCAATCTGAATATTTTTGTTAGCTTAGTAAATAATGTAGTCCAGAAGTTAGGTGGATGTCTTTGGGTTTGGATCCTCAGGGTAAAACATTTTACCCTGCTGTTCCTTGGTTTTGACTACTTGGAGTTAGCATCTTATCATTTCATCAAGGTCAGGTATCAATCTGATATATTTTAAGACTCCTAAATCACCAAACCCCTTCGTTAAAACAGATTTATAATGCTCCAAGTTACTTGCCATAATAAACAAAAGTACAAAATGAAAAACAGAGGAGAGAGATGTGAGTATATGTGTGTCTGAAATGGAAAGGTAGTTTTTTACATCTATATTTACCAACAAAATTACATTGATCAATTGTTTTGTTTACACAAATCTTAAAAGTCACTATTTAATCTAGAGATGAAGTTCTAATTAAACATAAGGATATCTCATAGTACAATGTTCTTAATTTTTGAGATGACAACAGCTCTTACCTATGACACACGACAGTAAATAAGAAATTGCCCATGAGGTTGAATTATTGAATGTTTTGTTTTTCTGCTGCTTGACACCAAGGGAATTAAAACCCTCTAAATTACATCCTTTATAAGCAGAGAGAAGGAAGGCAGTTTTAATACAGAAAAATGGAATTCATGTTATTAAATGGAAGAGGCACACACTAGGTAGGCACCAGAAAAGCAGAACCAAGGTTGCTGTACCCAACTTGTGTAAGGTTGTGCTGTGTTTTGCTGTTGGGAAGTGCAAGGTCTGGACAGTGGCTGTTCCTTTTGTACTGTCAGAGAGATGGTTCATTTGCCTTTTCATCACTCTGGGAGGAGTTTCTCATCTGGATTATTCTGCTTTTCATTTATATCAAGTGCAAATTTCATAAATTGAAGTTTTGATATTCTGAATAGTTTTGCTTCTAGTTTTCACTTAAAATCTTTTCAATGATTGCAGGACTTTCTAATAAAGATTTATATTTTATATTGGACATAAGAATGTCCTATTGTAAATTTGCTAATGTTTCCTCATGTTGCATGATGTAATTGATGTTTAGGTATTTAAAGCTGTCTAGGGCAGTGGTGTCCAAACATTTTTGGTTGCACATACCTATCAGTAAAACATTTTTGAGCATGTGCCCTCAAAGTATTCATATTTATTTACTTATGGATTGCATACATGTGCTACTGTACTAATATAATCCATTCTAAAACATGAAAAAAAAAAAGAAGAAATTTTAAAAGGATGAGGTAAAGATGAAATAAACACTCTTTAAAAATGTTTTTTATTTTATGAATGGGACAAAAATATTTTCTTCCTGCAGCCTAGTGGATTGTCTTGCACACCCCCTGGGGGTACTTTGAGACCAGAGTGGGTCTGGTTTATTGCTATTGACAAAATATAGGTATGTAAGCAGGAATAAAACATTGTGTAATTTGTTTCTCTTGATAGGGGAAGCATAAGTTATGCCAACAAAACCCTTGTTGCAGCTCCATTCTTCATGCAAAGTCCTTGACTGGTTCTGTCTTCCATCTTTTTTTTTGCTGAAGTGAAGCTTTAGTGATTTAGCACTCTGGTTTAAAAGGCAGATGAATGTTTCTGTATGAGGGGATCCCCATCCAATAAATAGGCAATTGAAACAACTTTCTCAGGAAATATTATGAGGGGATCCCCATCCAATAAATAGTCAATTGAAACAACTTTCTCAGAAAATACTTCAGGCAAAGTGTATGGGTAATTAATGGAATTCCAGTTATTCCTGTATGGTAGGCAGATTTGCTTTCATGTATTTAGAGAGTGAAGGAGATTGTTCTCTGTCCTGTGCAATCATGTGATAAACACACAGAATTTTGTGCACATTCCAAATCCTGCGTGGTGGGGATCTCTCTGTCTCTGTGCACATTACTGCATAAAGCTTTCCTAGACCTTAGATACACTAATATCTATAGGCAGTGTTTAATGTGCACATGGGTAAGGTTACCTTGAGCACAACTGAATAAAATTGTCAAATAATATTGTGACAGAACCTTCCCTGAAGCAGAGTGTTTTGATAAACTGTGCTTAGTATTGGAAAACAAAGTTTAAAAAAATACTGCATTACAAGTATTATACTGTTTTTGAAAAAGGGACACTTTTATATTCCTCTTCTGTTCCTGGAACTTTTTTTACTCCAAGGAGTTGGGAATTGCAAGAGAAGGATGGAAGAGATGCTTCTATGTGCTCCCCAGTGCAACTGATGCAGTCCTAAATGATGAGGTTATTGGGCCATTCAACACTGTATTACACTTTCCTTTAGGGTGCCAGTATCAGTGCAGAATTTCAGTAATTCCCATTGAGGTTCCCTGCAGTTGAGGGTGCTCAGCTGTTTAATTAAAATAGTCCTCAGTCATGGAGAGCAATACAAGTTTGACAGTAACATACATGAGCACAGTATTTCCACCTGTACACGTATATATGCTTTAGTACAAAATTGTGAGTTCACTCTTCTGCAAACAGCACCAATGCCACAGAGTTATGATGCAAGGGATTCTTTGAAGTGTGATCCATACTGCAAATTTTGCATATTGTTACAGTGTGGACACCTTTCTGAGTCTTACAGTAGGTTCCAATTTCAAAGTAAGGACATGATTATCCTCATTGAGAAGAAACATTCAAAGGAAGTTTAGCCTGGCTATGGAAATACCATTATGAAATTATTTAACTGGGAGGGTAAATGATGCAATTGCAATGGCTCCTGCTGGAGCCAGTTCTTGTAGTAACATCAGGGGAGCAATTGCACTCCTTGGAAATTAAATTTTGCAAGTAAATACTGTATTTTAATTTTACCTTAATCAGAAGCAATGTATTTCAGAATTGTTTACTTAAACTGGGTCAAATTCTCCCCAGCAAACTGTGTGCATGCCAAGGTCACTTTTGTGAAGCTCTTAATGTTCTCAAATCATGTCATTGGCAATACACCCTTTGAGGTTCCTTGCAGATTTGCCACTTGCCTCAGCACTGGAAGGAGTTAGGAGAGCAGGTTCTTTAGAGCTTTTATCTCCAGCTGTAGAAGGTGTAAGTGTTGATTGAAAATATGACAGTTTTGAGTTTGCAGTTGAGACTGCAAAATCCAAAATATTGATTACACTTCTAAAATGCCTCTTTTTCCCCACTGTGAAATTTTTAGGAAAACACTAATGGATAACAAATGCATGTGTTTTCGTAATAATTGTTAAAATGATACAAACTATTGCCTTGTAACTTTACTATATGTATGCTGACAGTTTTGCATTTTCCCAGTATCAGTTCTTGTTATTTTTCCTATTTTATTTCTCATATATAGGATTTCTCTTCAGAACAATTAAGTGTCTGAATATTTGCTAGGGAAGAGTTTTCATTTAGCCACAATGACTTTGTGTTTATGACGTTGTTCACACATTTATTTATGTTTTAAAATTTCTGACCTTGGTTCCTTGAATAATTGTGTACCTCTGTAGACATCTTCTGTTTGATTAACACTGCCCCTGCCCTGGCTTGGATGCTGGAGAGCCAGAAATGAATCTGCAGCTGGTTTTGGTGATCAGTCCTGCAAGCTTTCTTAGCTCCTGTATCTGCTCAATTGAAGTTAGCTGCATAGCAGTAGGAACATCCTGTACAAGCAAAACAATTTACATATGCAGTTGCCAGTAATATTTCAATTACTTCACCTGAGAGTGGGCTTGCAGTGCTTGCCTTTGATTTACAGTGCACTTCATTTGGATTAGTTCTTTAATTGGAATTAATCAGGTTTGGCCTTGGGTGGTTCTCTCAGGAAATTGATTATATGGTTTCCACTTAGATTCTTGGGTGGTTTTTTTTTGCAGGATCTGTGTCTCGCTGCTTGAAGAAGAATTTTATTTTAATACCTTCGTGATGCCTTCATGTAGCTTTGTTCTTTAAAATACTTGCTTCAAAAATAAAACTATTTATGGTGTTGCTTAGTTGATCATTTCGGAAATAAGGTTCGAAGTTAAAATGTTAATAACTTTGCTATGTTGTGTCTTCACTTAATGGGGTAGGACAGGGCCATTTTTGAATGATGAAAATATCACTTGCTTTTCCTGTTGCATTCACAAACATGACTGGTTTTAGCTTGATCTGACTTGTTTCAGGCAAAGTTTTCAAGTTCTGCACTTCTCTTGCCCAATTTACTAGTTATACTTGAATCATGGATCACCTTTATGACATGAACAATTCTCTCCTGAGAGTTTGCAGTGTAAGCAAGGTGTTAATTTGCAGTAAAGAGGCAAAAAACTAATAAAGGCATGATCAGGCTAATAGATAAATTAACCAGTTTAAGGGCTTCATACCAAATGAGACTTCAAGATAAAAGGTGGGAGGCAATTTAAGCTTTTAGGCAAGGTTTGCACACACATGCACACACAAATGCCTTTTATGAACCTCCTTACTAGCTCTGCAAACACAGCCCCCTGACAGAACATGCATATTGGCCCATTTTAGAATACACTGTATAAGTCTGGAGTTTGCCTCCTTAAAGCCCTGATTGACGACTCAAAGAATAGCAAGTTAATAAAATTAGCTTCTGTGACTTAACATAGATGTTGAATGAAATTGATCTCTTCAGCCTGTATACTTAGAAGATTTTTAAGTACCAAAAAAATCTAGTTCACTTCACTGCTGACAGCTGAATCCACCTGACAGCATTCTGGTTTTAAAGGCAGGTTCTCATTCCAGTACGTGGAAACAAAGGAATAATGTTGTGTCATTCCTTTACTTAGACTGCTTACTGGGAGGGAATCTTACATCCTCGGGGCTTTCAGTGGATCAGACATCTTTTAGTGAACTTCCTATTCAAAGGGTATTATTTCTGAAGTCACTGCTATTCTTCCTTCCAGATAAATTCCATTATGTGTTGCCAATAACAATGCCTTGTCACTCTGTTGGAAATTAAGTAATGTATGTTCAAGTTGCCAGAAGATAGATGATGCAGTAAAAGTGTTTCACTAACATTAAAAGAATCCATTCACTTAATGACTAAAAATAGGACACTTCTCTTTAGTGCGTAGGTTTTTTACAAGTGAATGTTAGAATGCCAGTAAGAGCCCAGTGGATGGAGCCATTTCTGTTTGGGGACAGTTCTTTTCTTTAGAAATGCTGCTGGTGCAGTGCAGCTCTTGAAAGCAGTATGGTTCCATTAATTCTTCTGTGCAACTCCCTGAGCTGAAAGCAGGGTAAGACATTTGGATCTTGGAGTATTCAACATAGACATTTTCACCCCTTGGTCACTTGTTTTAATCTAAGGCTGTTAACCTTTCAGTCTGCTGCAGATAAAACTAGCAGCTTTCTGAATGTTCATATTGAAATTACATTTTTTGATACCAGAAAATGGGTGTGAGTGAGATAGGCATTCACTCTTCACATAGCAAGTCAACAAGCAAGTTACCTAAGAATTTGTCTTACGGAGAGGCTCGCTGTACAGTGCAGCACTTATAATGCAAGGCTAATCAAAATGTGTGCAAAATAATTACAATGAATCAAGTTGCAGTTAGTCAGTAGCATTAATTACTACGCACTACATCCCTGAAATCTAATTCACTGCTTTTATTTCTTGCTTTTCAGATTGTTTGAAGGACGGTCACCAAGAAAGCCTGAGAAACTTAAGACCCTTTTCTGCTATTTTAGAAGAGTCACAGAAAAAAGTATATCCTTTATTCTTTTCTTGAGCTACAAAGCTGATACATGAAAAACTTAATCCCATTAAATTTAGAAATGGTTGTGCAGCATTATGGTGGAAGTGTGTAACAAAAGCTAGTTTGCAAAGTAGGCTGATATTCATATTAATGGCACTTCTTACCATATACATGATGCGGCAAGCAGCTTCTTGCATAGAGCTTGTTCTGGTTTTTCTGATATATATAGATATAGATATATGGGGTGTGTGTAAAGTATTGAGATGTATTTTCACCCCTCATAGATGTGTATATAGATGTGTTTATAGGTGTGTGTATATCAATGTGTAGATATAGATATGTATCACGTTTGGAATATATGCAATTACTTGCCTTACTGCATCAGAGGGACAATATAGAGGGAACTTGGCACCACATACAGTCATTAAAATCAGACTGAAACATTCTGAGTGAAGCTTCAGGTTTCCAGCAATATGCATATTTAGTCATTTGACTATAATGTTTGTAGTTCTGAGGGATTGTCCCCCACATGTGTTAATATATCAGGTTTTTCCCTTCTATTGTCCCAAAGCAAAGCTGTTGTGAAGTTTGCCCATTTCAAACAAAACAAGTGATAGCAAAGCATGAGATATCTTCAACTCTTCGAGAAGTTAGTGTGTAGTCAGATCTTCTGTTATTGGCATGAATTTGAACATCTCTATTAGCTTTTAAAAATATTTATTTTTGTGTTAACTATCATAGCTTATATATTGTGTTTTGGAGGAGAAATTGCAATAGCATATATCACATCTGCACCAATAGCCTTATTATAGTCTTTAAAAAACTATTTCTTTGCATGTCAGCATTTCACTTTTAGCTTCATATTTTCCCAGAAGGGTTTGTTTTAAAAGAAAGACAGCTATAAACTATTAAATATAAAAAGCCCTTTTCCTGGTTCAGTCTATCTTCATAATTTTAATTCACCACAAATTAAATGCAGCTATATCCTCCTTCAGCTGTCAGACTTTAAGCAGTGTCAATAGAACTAAATCTTTGAGGTAAAAAGCAAATTGTGATCTATGTGTGGGACTGAGAAGAGATGTGCTGTACTCCTTGTTTTAATACTTGAGTAATAATGTTTTCAAATCCTAAATTTAGGCAGCTGTCCCTGACCCCTGTGCATATGAAATCTGTTGGGAACATGATTTATGAAACTACTGCATTGGATTTCCGAACATTAGAGCTTTAAATAATATTTAATGAAACTCTTTTCTTGAGTTGAAAGTTCCTATCGTACATTTAAAATACCCCATTTCTCTACTCTTTTTTGTCCCAGGAACTAGCAAGTCTGAAGTAACTTAGCTCTATAAATTGATGTAATAATTTTTCAACTCTTTCTGTTGTAAGTGATAGTTGAATTCTGTATGAAAGAACACAGTGGAGACTGGAGACTTTGTGCTCAGCAGGTGAATACTTAATTTGTAAAATACTGGAACTGATACCAGAGTTCTCCTGTGGAAAAGCATTGGATTACTGAAAGCTGTGCACTTCTTTTTAAGAGCAATTAACTCCTTTTTGCCTGAACCCCTAAAATCTTGAAGAAAAGCACAGGAATCTTTAAGGCTTTTAGAAGGACATGGTTGTGCTTTACATACTGTTTTCAATGTTTGTCACAAGCCAGCACAGTAGACTTACTGCAGCAAGGGAATTAATGTCAAATGAAGTTTTATTAGGATGACACCACCTAATAAATAAAAGGTTGATCTTTTCTTTCTGTTGCAAAACTTAACATTTTCTGAGTAAAAGAAGGAGAAAAGATGCTAATGCATTCTTCCTGCAATGAGCAATGGCTCCACTTTTTCTCTTGAGGGCAGGAGTGTTTTCTGCAGTTGAATTACAGTGAATTTCACTAGCATCCTGGAAGGGCTGAAAACTGCTTGATTTGGAATCCACTAACACTGCATCTTTATTGGCATAGTAGGACTTTGTTGGAAATAAGAGCTGCTGCTTCATCCATCCATAGGTTGAGTACTCTGGATTGCCTGTTGACACTGAACAGTAGTTGCTTTTAAAGGTTCACAATTTCTGTTTTTCAGAGTGGTAGCACATTTTAATTAAGAGTCTTTCTAGTAGTGTTTACTGTTTTTCCTCAGTCTGTAAAAAGAAAATACTCTAACTGCAAAGCAGGAAGAGAAGTGAGTATTTCGGTCTTCATGTTACTTGTCTTCAATTTGAGCATGGGCAGTCAAGGGATGATTGAAAGCAGCTCTTGAGGAAAGTTAAGCTTGTGGTTTCCACCAGGGATGATGTTTGTGTTTTTAAAAGTTTACCAGTTAAAATAATTTAAGGGCTAAAGCTCCTGCAGTTAACACATTTTCCTTTGGGGTTGGTTTGCCTGTAGAGCCCACGGGATTGGTGACGTTTACAAGGCAGTGTCTCCAGGAGTTTCCAGACTGGGAGAGGTACGTCAAACATCCTGTTAATGTAAGAAATTCCTTAAATCCATGATAACTGAATTTCATTTGTATGGAATTGATTCAGGTCTGGAAGTACTATAGAAAACAATGTTTGGTGCGGATTGTTGCAGAAAGAAATACAGAGGGAACTGGGTGAACTGCCACAAGTAGATTGTGTCCCGAGTTTTCCAAAAGCCAACAAGTCTTTAGTGAAGTTTTAAAACAGTGTCATATCTTTGGTGCTGTTGCTTGAGGGGGGAAAAATGAGAGAGATTATTTGATTTTAAAAATGATAGGAAATATAATGAAGTATGGCGGATAACCAGCATAAACACAAGTGTTGCAGGCTTTGCTGCTGGTTAGCGAGTTAATGTGGGACAAGAAAAAAGTAGAACCCCAAAACTCTGGGGTTTTATGGTGAAAGAGTTGTAGAAACTGAACAATTGACTATGTGAAATCTTAAGAAGTTGTTTCTGAAAGGCAGGGTTGGGATTTTTTTAATCCACCTTATGTTTAAGGTGTGTAACAAATTTGGGGTCGGATGGGTTTTGCTTTAAAATGGATACTTTTGTGTGGAGGTTCTGTAATTATCCTTTCCATACAATATTTTTCCTCAATGGTAGATCTCAGAAAAAACTATCTAGGTTGCATGTCACCTATGAAGGCACCATTGAAAGCAATGGACAAGGGATGCTACAGGTAAGTGCATATAACAGTTAATGTGGCTTTATGTCATGTTTTTGTCATACTTTTATGGTCTGCCAACTTAACAAAGTTGTTTGTTTATCCTCAGTTGATTCAAATGACAAGATGTTTTGCAGTGTAAAAGAAACATCAAAATTAATTCCATGGGCAGCTTTGTTATTGTCAGAGTTCCCCACCTCAGCTAGGTAGCACATGTACCTGTTACTGAAAGGGCTGACAGAAAATCACAAGCCCTGGACAGCTTCAGGTCTTTTAGTTCAGGCCAGGATCAAAGATTGACAAGATAAAAGAGTCAGGCTGTGATCTTGATGACTTGTCAAGGGCTACAATTTATTTTTAAAAAATTATTCTTGTGCCCCAGACAGTGACCAGGTCAGAGGTTCAGGAGACTTTCTTGCTGCTGCCAGCACCACTGTTTCAGTCTGGGAGGCAGTCAGCAAAAGAAATTCATGAGAAGCATGTCCTGTCCATATCTATATGAAGGAACACATTTCAGTTTTCAAATTAGTTGTTTGCCTTCTGCTTTTCATAAAAAAAATCTGCCTTCTAGAATTCTTTTTTTAAAAAAAATTTTAAACTGTAACTTCTTTAGCCAGGAACAAGTGCTTCATAGGAAGAGGAGTAGGGAGAACAGGAGGACTGTTTTTCTGCAGTGCATTTTGCTCAGATTTTAAAATGCCTTATGACTTTACGAAACTTGAGCACTCAGATGTGTGTTGAAATTATTAAGAACTCAGCAACTGCTCAATAGTAACCATTTTTCTGGGGTTGCACTCTGTAAAAGTGAGTATTGCCTAGGATGTGATATTTTTCCTCCTGGCTATTTCAAGCCTTATCAAACAAAGTATCTCTGCTGAGGTGAAGAGCAGTCACTCCAGGAGGGAACAGGATGACCAAGGTGAGACAGTGCAGGAGTCCACAGTGACCCAGCCTCAACAGGCAGGAGTGCTGGCTGGGACAGGCAG